TTATAATACAAAAACGTTACATCTGCATTACCTTGTTACAGAAATTTATGAAGTACAGTCAGGTCCATATATATTTAAGCACTGACACAAGTTTTGTTATTTTAGCTGTTTACTAAAACATATTCAAGATATTCAGTTATATAATCAACACGGGCTTAAAGTGCAGACTCGCAGCTTTAATTTGAGGGTATTCACATCCAAATTGGAGGGTTGAGGAATTACAGCTCTTTAATATGTACCCACCTCTTTTTCTAGGGACCAACGGTAATTGGACAGTTGACTCAAATACTATTTCATGGTCTGCATGGGCTATTCCCTCATTAATCCATCATCAATTATCCAGGTAAAAGGTCTGGAGTTGATTCCAGGTGTGGCATTTGCATTTGGAAGCTGTTGCTGTGAATCCACAACATACGGTCAAAGGAGCTCTCAATGGAAGTGAAACAGACCATCCTTAGGCTGAAAAAAAGAAGAAATCCACCAGAGAGATAGCGGAAATATTAGGAGTGGCCAAATCAACAGGTACATTCTGAGAACAAAAGAGTGCACTGGTGAGCTCAGGGACTCAAAAAGGCCTGGACATCCACGGAGGTACAGTGGTGGATGATTGCAGGACCCATTTTCTTCAATGGTGAAGAAAAACCACTTCACAACATCCACCCAAGTGAAGAACACTCTCTAGGAAGTAGGTGTATCAGTATCTGAATCTACCATAACGAGAAGGCTTTATGAGAGCAAATACAGAGGGTTCACCACAGCCTCAAAAATAGAAAGGCCAGATTAGACTTTGCCAAAAAACTTCTAAAGAAGTCAGCCCAGTTCTGGAACAGCATTCTTTGGACAGATGAAACTAAGACCAACCTGTACCAGAATGATGGGAAGAAGAAAGTAAGAAGAAGGCTTGGAATGGCTCATGATCCAAAGCACACCACATCTTCTGTAAAACATGGTGGAGGCAGTGTGATAGCATGGACAGGCATGGCTTACATTGGGACTGTTTATTGATGGTGTGACAGAAGACAGAAGCAGCTGGATGAATTCTGAAGTGTATAGGGGTATACTTTCTGCTCAGATTCAGCCAAACACAGCAAAGTTGATTGGACGGTGCTGACCAAAGACATACTGAGAAAGCATCCCAGGAGTTTTTTAAGGCAAAAAAGTGGAATATTCTGCAATGGCCGAGTCAATCACCAGGGGCCTCACGTACAAAGACTTGTGTGGACTTCCTTCTGAAACATGGCGTACGCTTAAATCCAGAAAACGTTGTACGCACAAAAGGAGGAGCTCACCCCGTTCGAACAGTGAGTCGCCGCAGTTGTGGGTGACACTGCTCTCTCAGGGGTGGTAGAAGCACATGTGGGTGACTCGGATTACCCCCAAGGTGTATACCTATAACTTTGTATAAATTACAACAAATGTGTTCATACAGGTCATATAGCCTGCTCACAGTCCTATAAGATAGAGGTTCATGCATAAATGTTCATGAATAAATGCAGAAGAGCGCCGGGAAAAGGTGAGGCTGATTAAGAAATTTCACACATTATGCACGGGTTTATTGACATGAGTACTTTACACACAGAAACAATCAGGGGCTTGTTAGAAAGCTCTGAAGCTGTAGTTTGACCAGCAAAAAACAGTAAGTCACTAACTTTAACCACTTACTGGCACTGATGCTGTGAAGACAGGATAATATTTGGGGGCGCACATGCTCAATGTGCATCAGGGGGATTAATATTAGGACAATTAAACAAATAAATTATTTACTCACCAAGAAGTCACCCATCACGCACAGTGCCAGCTTGTAGTCTGTTCCCAACCATGCTGTTACTCAGAATGTATGAATCATGCGTTGAACCAGGCCACCTCGCCACAATGTTGGTTAATTGCATTTGCGCATCACATATGATCTGTACATTGATCGAATGAAAATGCTTCCTGTTGACATAAACAAATTCATCCTGTGATGGCTGAGGACTAATTGTTTTCACATTTATTTATTATAAGTTTCCCAGCATCACCTCTAGGTGTCGCCAAAGGATCAACAGCTGTAGAAACGTGCGTACGCCAGCCATGAAGTCGGCGTGAGGCACCGCACGTTTCCACGGTCATTTCACTCTTGATACATCTGAACTTTGCCGTGGAAAAGGACGTACGCCATGTTTTTGTGCGTACGCACCCTTTGTACATGAGGCCCCAGATCTCAACCCATCAAGCATGCATTTCACTTGCTTAAGACAAAACTTACAGCAGAAAGACCCACAAACAAGCAACAACTGAAGACAGCTGCAGTAAAGGCCTGGCAAAGCATCACAAAGGGGGAAACCCAGCGTTTGGTGATGTCCATGGATTCCAGACGTCAGGCAGTCATTGCCTGCAAAGGATTTTCAACAAAGCATTAAGAATGAACATTGTATTTATGGTAATGTTAATTTGTCCAAGTACGTTTGAGCCCCTTAAATGAGGAGACTTTGTTGGAAAATGGTTCCAACCTTTCAAAGGATATTTTTGTTAAACCCCTTGGATTAAACCTGAAAGTCTGCACTTCAATTGCATCTCAGTTGTTTCATTTCAAATCTAATGTGGTGGCATGCAGAGCCCAAATCATGAAAATTGTGTCACTGTCCAAATATTTCTGGGCCTAACTGTATACTTTTTTTCTGTCTTTTTAAGGTAGCCATTACCTTTTTACAAATATTAAGGTAAACTTTTTCCCACATTCAACGCAGCCAATGGTTTCCAATACTTCTGACATGAAATTAAAGTATTATACTTTTACCGAAAGGCTTGGTGCTAAATAAATAAGACAAGTACTTTGGCACAAAGTTCCTTGGAGCTCATTGCTAACATTAGCATGCTAGTATTCTTAAGCAGGATTTATACTTCTACACTGAATAATGCCATACCTATGACGCAGAACCTACGCAGTGACCTACGATGTAGCCTGATGTGCAGCTCTTCAGAAATGTAACTACACACTGCAGCGACGCAGACCTCCTGGGGTTTTTTTTGTAAGCTGAAACCATTTTCCTTAGTGAAAACAAAGCTTTCATTTACTTTTATTTCACAGATAAGAAACAATAAATTGTGAAAACAAAAAAAGCCTCCACAAAAATAGCATTTTAAGTCTTGTATGTGTGATTTATCCTGGCTTCTTATGAGTAGAGGAAATCTCAGCCAGTTGTTGAGCTAAGTCATACAATGTAAAATGCCATGGGCTTGTGTTAATAATGTTAGCATGTTGTATTTGTTTGAAAAAGTGTTAAGTGTAAGACAGTTGTTTTGTCTGTGAACCTAGAGCTGAATTTTGTAACATTACCTTGGTTAAATGTTGCTGTTGTCGCTGGCTTCATGTGAGTAGAGGAAACTCCACTAGCCACTAGGCTAATTTATACAATATAAAATGCCATAGGCTTGTGTTAATAACATAAGCATGTTGTATTTGTATTTGTATTTGTAAAATGTATCCAGCAATCCTGCCAGTTATGATAACGCCGATTTGTGTACTGGTGTATCAAATTGTCGGTATTAAGCCATGTTTAATGTGTGTTTTTACAGAAACTCCACCGCCGTTAGGTTGGGATCCGGATCTGGTTCTTTTTTGGAACCGGGTCCAAAGTTCCGGTTCTATCACATTTGCACTAAAGGTTCCTGCAAACGGTTCCTAGATTGTAAAAAAAAAAAAAAAAACCTGTCACGTGCATTTCCATTAGAGTGCGGCACGGGCCGCATATTTCTGTCCGAACCCGACCGAGCCCGACATTATTTAATGACTAAAGCACTGAGTTTGTGTCACACAGTTGTTATGGTTACAGGCTATTTAACAGACCGGGCGTGCGCCGTGGGTGCTCAGCGGAGAGGGAGACCTCCCTGTTTGACACGAGAGCGGGCGGCAGGAGGTCCGAGGCTTCCAGCGAGGGGAGAGGTAGAAATATAACAAAATAAGATAAAATAGGAAAACTTGTCTCCCTCTTTTATTTAATTTTCAGCGTTTAATCAAGGTGGAGGCGGGTGGCGGGAGGTCCGAAACAGCCAATGTGTGTGTGTGTTCTGTTCAGGTGTTGTTACATAAATAACAGTGCCCAAGCATGAATGCATATAAGTAGGCTATTTTTTATTACATTGCTGTGGTTAATTTGAGGTAACAGTGTTACTGTAGAAATCGGAGAATCACTTTTTTGTTAAATATTCTCAGGGAGATGATACAAGCTCTATATCTGAAATACACACCACACACAAATGTGTATTTTCATCTAATTGTACTGTGCAACAGTTAGACTAAAGTTTTTGTATTTGTATGATTGCATTTGTTTTTATTATATACTTGTTTAAGTATAGCAAGTATAATGAATATAATGTAGGAATCAGTAAGAGGAATCTGTAAGGAATTGGAATCGTTAAAATCCTAACGAGTCCCAACCCTAACCGCCGTGTAGTGTTTTGGAGGTGTAACTGCAGAGTGATACAGACACACCACCATGCAAGTATAAATACTCACAACGGCGTAGGCCATGTGCATAGGCTACGGCATAGGTTCTGCATAGAGCTGACACACAAGTATACATCCACCTTTACAATTACAAAGCTAATATGCTGATGTTCCCAAGGTACATTTGGTAATTTGCCAATAAGTATTAACACTGTGAAAACACCACAGACACTGTTTAGTAAGGGTAGCTACTGGAGGATGGAACAATTCAGAAAATGTTATATGAACTTTTATGATTTTCTTAAATTAGTTATGAAAACCCTTACAAAGGCAAAACTCAGGGACAAACAGAATGATAGAAAAATGCTTCTTTCGAGATCCCACTACAATTTTGCATTTCATTTGTGTGACATCATACCTGGAGGCCTCAAGTCTTTGATCTTTGACCTTCTTGTCCATCTGCATTTTGTATACAAGGCACCCTGACAGAAATTGGGCTCTTCTTGCTCATTTTAGGCCTTTGCCTCATGAGATGATAGAAAGTATTCAACTACAGAGAGACAAAGACAAGTGCTTACAGTACGTATAAACTCACACTGATGTCTTTTTTATTTCTTACAGCTTCTCAGACACACACGCGCGCACACGCACACACACAGTTACTTATCAAACATCAAAGGACTGCACTGTACAAGAACTTAAACTTATTTTGCTGGTCAAGGACATTTATATCTATAATGCAGACCTTTCTCTGGAGTCCACACACACACACACACACACACACACACACACACACACACAGGCCAGCGGTCCTGTCCTGGAGATAGGGAAATTCCAGTAGGGGCTCTCTTTACAGTGCACCATGTCCCAAATGATGATGGCACCTAGGGGACCTGGTGGGATCCACTTAGTCTGATATGGTCTGATCTGGACTGAGATCATTCAGATTAGAATGAAATCCACTTCAGGTCAGGTCAGACCAGCTCCTCTCTTCTTTGTGCCCCTTATTTGATTCTGCAGTCCGTCATGTCTCCTCAGTGCTCTGAAAACACACAAGATTCAGTTTAACTCCAGACTAAACAATACAGTATGTTTTAAAAGGCTTCTCAAGTTATTCTGTTGCTGTTGGTCATTCTTGATAACTAGATGCTACACTACCCAAGAAGAGACAGAGATTTCAACAATTAAAATGTGGGAAAAAAGTGTGATTTTACAAATGAGCTCTCCAGAATGAAAGCCACCAGCCAGCATTCTGAGAAGTGTATTAAACTATAGGTGTGATATTTTTAGGGTGAAAACCATTTCTCCTGTATTGTGTTTTTGCCCAAGAGTTTGTTTTAACTTCGCTAGACAACCTTTGGAGAAACCAGTGGAATGCTAGTTATATGATGTGCCCTGTTTGGAGGAGAAATGTCTCAACATATGACCAGTCTGGCTTCCGTCCTCACCACAGGATAGAAACAGCCCTTATCAAAATCACCAATGACCTCCTGATTGCAGCTGACTTCGGACTTTTACCCATCCTCATCCTCCTCGACTTGAGTGCAGCCTTAGACACCATCTCCCACTCCATCCTCCTCGACAGACTGGCATCCATTGGAATCTCCAACACACCCCTCGACTGGTTTAAATCATATCTCACTGGCTGCACTCAGTTCATTCAGTTAAAATCCTTCACGTCCCAGCCATCTCCCCTCTCCTCCGGTGTTCCCCCGGGCTCTGTTCTCTGTCCCCTCCTCTTCATTATCTATCTCCTCCCCCTTGGCCATATTTTTCGAAAACACAATATACAGTTTCATTGCTATGCGGATGACACCCAGCTCTATCTCTCCAACAAACCTACCTCCAGCCTCTCGCCTCCCTCTCTCCGTCAACTTCCTCAAACTGAACAATGATAAAACAGAGGTTCTCCTCATTGGTCCACCCTCACAAAAGCTAGCAGTTTCTCCACCTCCTTAGACAACTCCACTGTTTCCCCCTCCTCTCAGGTTAGGAGTCTGGGTGTCATCCTGGACAGTACTCTATCATTCCAAACCCACATCAATAACGTCACCCGGACTGCATATTTCCATCTTCGCAATATCAATCAACTTCGTCCCTCCCTCACACCCAGCTGCACCGCCATACTGGTCCACTCCCTCGTCACCTCTCGTCTGGATTACTGTAGCACCCTTCTCACTGGTCTCCCCCTCAAATCCATCCATAAACTTCAACTGGTCCAAAATGCTGCCGCCCGGATCATCACCAGAACACCATCCATCCAGCACATCACTCCTGTCCTCCATCAACTCCACAGGCTTCCCATACAATACCGCATCCAATTCAAAACCCTACTGCTCACATTCAAGGCCATCCATAACCTCGCTCCTCCATACCTCACTGAGCTCTTCCACATCCACACACCCAGCCGGACTCTCAGATCCTCCTCCTCAATCAGCCTCACTGTCCCTGCCTGACCACCAGGGGTCCAGAACCTTCAGCCACTCGGCCCCCCGCCTCTGGATATTCCTCCCACCTGATATCCTAAATATTCAATCCCTGGACACTTTCAAATCCAAACTCAAAACATATCTGTTTAAACAAGCCTATCACTACTAAATGTCATTGCCTGCTGCTAACTTCTTAATGTTTTATTATTGCTGCTGTATTGTTTTTATTTATTTATCCTCTATGTACAGTGACCTTGAGTGTCTTGAAAGGCGCTGATAAATAAAATGTATTATTATTATTATTATTATTAAAAATACCACACATACAGTGTAGTTTGGAGGTGGGAGTATCATGGTATGGGGTTGTTTATCATTTCATGGGACCAGCAGAATCCAAATGATCAAAGGGAAAATGAATGGATGAATTTCTTTGCCATCTACCAGGACGGTTAGGACGAGATGCCGGTGGACCTTTAGCAGGACAATGACCCAAAACATACGACAAAGGAGACTTAATATTGGTCCCAGAGGAAGAAAATAAAAGTACTGGAATGCTGAGCTGCCCCTCAGAATCTTCTAGATTTAAAGACTGTCTGTGTGTGGAAGAATGAACCAAAATCCCATCTGAACACCATGACAGATTAATTTCTTCATACAGGAAGCATTTTAAAAGCTGCGTTGCAAACACTGGCTTCTCCACCAATTATCAAATACATTTCAGTTGGCATGTTCAAATTTTCTTTCCTGTGTTATTTCACTTTATTGTAGATAATGTTTTTTTTAATGGATTTTAATGTTATGATGTCTTCATCTGTATAGTCTTATTGAATTAATACCAGTGTCTGCTGTTATTTTGCATGTGAATAGCTGCACTAGAAATATGTTAAATATGTAGAAATATATGAAAAACATGCTGACGCACTGATACTTATTTTCCCCACTGTAAATCTGATTGAGCTAAATAACTTGAGCTAAGTACTTAAAGTTTGCACTGTGCAGCTATATCATTTGGGAAAACAGAAGTATCTGATCGGGACTTGATATCGGCAGATACCTAATATTAAATGACTCGGATCTGGGGCAAAACAACTTGATCGAGACATCCCTAGAAATGATGTGCATGAAACCTCCTTATTTTACCACAAACACCTAAATTAGGTGATATCTGCCTCGAGAAAGATCGCCAGGGAGCTGAAAGTTGACTTGGATTGGCATTCGGAGGCAAAAAAACTTGATGGGGACATCCCTACTCTCATTATCTTCCTCGCAGGTTGGTTTCAGCCTCAATGTATCAATTCAGCCTTGTAGATATATATGAATGTTTTTATTGGACTTTATTATTTGTAACCCACACAAGACAATCTCCAAATGTGTTCCACAATCCACAAATATTTCACTATCTACAAACATGTTTTTTTACATTTATGTTGTGTAAAGTCATATCCACAAAAATACAGCATGAATGGCAAATGCGCATAACTTACTCTGTAAACACGCACTTTAATTTCTCATAAAAATGTTATAGGTTTTACAAATGAAACAGTATCACCACAGCAAATACATGTGAAGTCGTATTTACGGATTTGTGGATCCATTTTTACACGTGAAACTGGTTTTGCACATTTGTGGATCGCTTTTTGTCAGTTCGTGGGTCATGTGACATTTGTGAGTCTAGGCATGTGCCGGTTACCGGCGTCACGGTTTACCACGGTAAAAGAATGTCACGGTGTCACTAACCGCCCATTTTCCGTTCTGACGGTAAAGGCCGACGGTGTAACCTACGCTACGTTTCATAAATGGGAACTTCAGGAACTCAAAACTCAGAAATAACTCTGTGCCAGTCATACATTTTAACTGGCACACACTCTGAAATCATGCATATGCAGCTGCTGCAGTCAGCACATTTATTGGGGGGGCAGCCTCAGTCAGTCAGTGAGTCAGTAAGTCAGTAATCAGTGTAAATCCACTCACGTCCAAACTGCAAACATGGCTGGAGGAGGCAAAGCTGAACTTTTCCCATGGCGAAAAGGACGAAGTCGGTGGTGTGGGACCATTTAGGCTATCAGAAGAACCCCCAGAGCCAAGGCAAAGACCCGCTCCTCGCGTGCTGGGCTCCAGTTCCCAGTTGGCCGTGTTCACAGGCTGCTGCGCTAAGGAAACTATGCGGAGCGTGTCAGTGCCGGTGCCCCCGTCTACCTGGCGGCTGTGCTGGAGTATCTGACCGCTGAGATCCTGGAATTGGCTGGAAACGCTGCCCGCGACAACAAGAAGACCCGTATCATCCCCTGTCACCGGCAGCTGGCTGTCCGCAACGACGAGGAGCTCAACAAGCTGCTGGGCGGAGTGACCATTGTGAAGTTAAGAAACGGCTCTATTACTTTTAACGGGTCTATATTACACATTTAAACAACTGGTGTGATGATGCGTTGCACTGACAGGAGATGCCTGGTACGTGCTGTCGCTCATGAACGGTCAAACGAATATTAACCTACCGTTTTAAAGTGTAGAGCACGAAAAAAGGACGACGCCTGTTTTATTATCATTATTATTATTATTACCGCGGTAATACTGATTACTGTGGTATTTTTGCCCACGGTTATCATACCGTCAAAATCTCATACAGGCACATGCCTATTTGTGACTTCCCTCCTCTTTGTTTATGTAATTTTGTACAGTTCCTACCAGGACAGATCTGTAGAAAAATATCTGTAAGTTGTGTAGTTACTCGCCACATGCATTGGCATCCTCAACAGTAACAACAACTGGACACAGTGACAGAAGTCAGCAGCTATTAGCTAGTTTCCAGAGAGCATGGGGAATTTAGGCATGTAAGTATAAGCCAATAATTTGTTTCACGTTGAGCATGTGAAATAAAAATGGACAATTGTAAGGACAATATAATCACAGTCAATGATTATTTCATTAGCCTGTTAATGGTAATCTCCAAGATGTGTTAGCATCCAGCTAACGTACTAATTTGACATAGGTTGCAGTGGTGGAAGAAGTACACAGATCTTTTACTCGGGTAAAAGTGCAAGAGAAATAAAAAGTAAAAGTAGTCATTATACCAAGTAGCTGGTTTATATTTTTTAATATTCGTCTGAATCTGCAGTTTGCAGTGGTGGTGGAGAATAACGAAGCGCTTTCACTCTCCAGTACTGTACTTAAGTATAATTTTGAGGTACCTGTACTTTACTTGAGTATTTCCATATTGTGCTAGTTTTACCTTCATTATATCTGAGAAGGAAATATTTTACTTTTCACTGTCCTACACTTATTTGATATATTTAAATACTAGTTAAACTGCGGATAAAATAATATTAATAAATATCATGAACAAATAATGGATAAACATAAGACTTGACTGCTACCCCACATTTACCAGCCTCAACATTAAAGTGATAAACACATTCATGCATCAGTCGTTTTATTTGATCTGAAATGGACTGTTCTGCATGAGTACTTTTACTTTTTGTTTCTCTTGTACCTTTACCTGAGTAAAATATCTGAGTACTTCTTCCACCACTGCAACCCTGTGTCAAACTAGTCCGTTGGCACAACGTTAACATATCATTGTGATATCATTATCCTTACAAACGATCTATTTTTATTTCAAATGCTCAACATAAAATGAAATATGGGCTTATACTTAGATGCCTAAATTCCCCATGCTCTTTGGAAACAAACTAATAGCGGCTGACTTCTGTCCTTGTGTCCAATTGTTGTTGTTAAGGATGCAAACGCTAGATAGACTCTTTGTTTTAGCCTATTTGGTACAGTTGTGTCATGTGAGAGAATGTCGCCACCTGCTGATGTGGTGAGTAACCGCACCTCACACAGATATTCTTTTTCTTTTTTTTACATATCTGCTGCAGTGGGAATTCGACAAAATTATGCAAATAAACAGAAAATAATGCAAACATTCTGAAAGCCTCTGCATTTCAATGACCCTCTGTTTGTGTCCCACAAGCACAGCTGTGGGCCTCTGTCTCGTTGTGTGGTTCAGGTTCTATCTGTTTGAAGACACCTTGAAGCTGCCTGACATCCTCCAAGATCCAGTCTTCCTAAATGTTTACCATCTATCTATAATTTTCATCATCCTTATTGTGTATTTTACAATCTGGTTGTAGCTTTATTATGTTTCTTGTTCTGTACACATAACATCTATTAACAATTAACATCTGTCCATCCAGTTGCTCTTCTTGAGGTTTTTCTTCCATTTTTCATTAAACGTTTATTTTGGAAGTTTACTGGGTGTCTTATGCTTAGTGTTGTCAAAAATATAAATTCATTAATACATATAAATTCTGAATAAAACGGTCTCAGTACTCATTTTCCACAGTACTGATAAAGTGTTACCAGCTGTGCTTTCTGGCTCTCTCTTATTGTGAATGTTTACTTCAGTCTTTCTGCTGTTCTCTGCTACTAACCAACAAAAGAAAAGTTGTCATTGTCATGTTATAGCCTTGTTTATATTTATCTGTTCATAAAAATTTGAAATTTTTTATACGCTGAATGTCAAATTTTCCCTGTGGTATAGAAAGGGTTAGGGGTTAGGTGTCAAATACTTTATAATCGTAGTATATCGATGTTAAAAATTCCATTATCACAAAAACACTTGTGTGCTCTATAGATTGTAAAGCCCTTTGAGGCAAATTTGTGAGTTTTCAAAGTGGGCTAAATGAACAAAATTAAGAAAATTATCATAAAAAAATTATAATATAATTAAATTAAATTTTCTCTTTTGCCATATCTCTATTCTAAAGTAGTGGTTCCCAACTAGTCCAGTCCTGGGGTCCAGATTCCTCCTCAGTCATTACTTCAAGGTCCACAGCTGTCCATTAGTCACTCAGTCTACAGCAGGAAATGGCACTTCAAAATAAAAGCTCTGTGCTGGAAATTTACCGTACTTTAAAAATAAAGTGTGTTTTTTACAAATTTGACACATTCGCAAGTCACTTGCGGCCCATTCAGAACGGACCGGTGACCAACTTCTAGACCGTAACCCACCAGTTGAGAACTACTAATCTAAAGTGTGTGCGTTGTCTCTCACCACTGGCCCTTGGTGGCTGTGCTCCCTCTCTGCTGTGAGATGCTGTAGATCTCCTGCAGCTGTTTCTTCTGGTCGTCACTGAGCGGAGCTGTCAAACTCTGGTACCAGGCTGCATCACTGTTCTGGACCCCTAACAAACAAACACACACACACACACACACACACACACACACACACACACACACACACACACACATTAGTGGATTAACTGATTAGTTGACAGACAAAATTAATAATTGTGTTAGTTTTAAAGTAATTCAGTCCTTCATTACACTACCTTTGAATGAGCAGAAATTCAATCATACACATTTATAAAAACAAAGTTTAACATAAACTTTCACGTGAAAAACATCTTAAAAAAATAAGCAAAAGCCCTTTTACTATATGTAGGAGCCACTGTTTATGGTTTTGTATTTGTTTATTGTTCATGTCCCGGTTGCCATGGGTGACGGTGTGGGTGGATGCATCAGGTGAAGTTTATATTAGGCAATGGTGTAGCAGAGCAGGTAATGATGCATGGGTGACAGGGAGATCGCACGGTTTTTACCTCTTGCACACTCAGATTGCCCTATACAACTCTTTTCCTGTCAAATGAAGCATCATTTATTCAAGCGAGTTAAAAACAGGGATTCACCTGTGCCCAGCCGAGTGGCTAATCATTGATCAGGATAGTCGCTATACTATATATAATATCACAATTCCCTCTAATATCTGTTTTATAGTCCTGTAAAAAAACATCAACAAATTTCTCCTTCAAACAGCTGAATTTATTCCTGTTTCTTTCATTTTATGAGATTACCAGTCCCTCCAGGATCTCGCGGCAAAAAAACCTTGAATTTGCAGCCAATCTTGTCAAAAATTGCGCTGAAAATTATGGGATTTTATGTGATTTTTTTTTTTTTTTGCGGGAAATTGTGGCAAATGACAAAATTGCGGCTAATGACAAAAGGAGAAAAAAAAATGTGATTTTTTAAAAATGACTACCTCCAAAAAAATAAGTCATGTAATCACTTGCTATAATAATCATACTGAATATTACAATATTACATATTTTTTATCGTTCTCTTCCTTATTTTTTTTTAAATTAGTTTCAAAACATGGACTCCAATAATGTTGCAAAAAATCCTGAGTGAATATTGTAGCTCTCAAACCAGACAATGTGACCGTAAAACAACATGTAAGCTACATCTTCTGTAAACATAACATTTTAATACATTCAACACATATTGTATGCATTTAAACAGTGCAAATATATTTTTGTATGATAGACCTGTATATCTAGTAGCTAAATAATTTTTTTTGGATGATCTTTGGGTCCTCCCCAAAATTGAAAATAGTCAAAACTGAGGCTTCTCCAAAAGGGACAGTGTCTGCCTTATCACATGAATCTCGGGAAATAATTATCAGAATGTCACCAAATTTGGACTGAATGTTCACAGACAGTTGCTGCACACAATGCAGTAAAGATCATCAGTACCTTGCTCCTTTTAAAAAATATATACACCTAAACACACATGAATTATAGGCGGACATGGAATAAGGAATAAAAAAATCCAAAAGGCATGTATATATGTGTTTGCCATTATTAATGTAAATAAGCCAATCACCCAAAAACTGCATTTATATGTGCCAAAGAATGTCATCTTATCATAAAAGTAGGTTATTAGATTATTCACCTCACCATCTGATGACACCAGCCCCTGACAGGTAACTAGTGCAGCCAGAACTTCAAACAGACAAATAGAACTAACTAATAGATATCCCCATGAAACTTGCCCAGTTGATCATTCATATTAAGACAAGTATTTTTTGTATTACAAATTTTCTGAAATATTTTATTTAAATATGCACCAATTTTGTTAATGAAGAAAATCACAAGGAGGGGAAATTGATTACGCACTTACTGTGCTAACACTCTGTAGCCTACAGTAGTCCTACTAGCACTCAGAGCTGCCCAGTTGCTATTTGCCCCATAACCAGGGGGCAAAGGGAGTGCTACCGCTTGCCTAAGGCGGACTCCCAGGCTAGCAGAGGGAAAGAGATACCTTATTTCTCCATTGTACATTGTCCTAAAATAGGGGGGCCCACCTGCTGCCTTCATCCTAGCTAACACTCAGAGCTACTATACTGAAATTGAATGTCAGCGGAGAGCATGGAGAGACAGCAATGGCAGACTTTGAATCAGGTGGAGAAGAGACAGGAGCTGTGGCTGGTGAGTCCTTAAAACAGATGGAGAGATGGCATAAGGCACAGAGATAATGTCAACACTAGGAACAGGCTGATATTTTGCTTGCAAGGCATGCATATAGAGACAATCTTCACAAGGTGGAAGCTGACTGGAGTCTATTTCTCCACGCCTTGCACAAAATAGCTGGTAGTGAAGCGTGTTAACTTTAGTTGTGTTTGTGGAAGGCAGGTACATCTGACATGTGACCCCCTGGAGCTTTCCAAATAGGTCATCTGAGACCTCCCAGGAGCTTCCCAACTCTCTGAATGTGTCTTGGCAGGTCTTGTTAGTCTTCAGTTTTATAAATATGGCTGAGTTTCCACAGCCACTGAAAATGAACAACACTAAATCCTACAGAACATTGACCCAAATTACCTACAGTTCTGTATCACCACCACTAGATTACATATTAGATACATGTTTGTTTTTTAAATTGCCCTTCATGGGAATAATAACGTGTATCTATAGATGTCATTTAACAGCCATAATTCAATCTAAATGAAAGCATCTAACTGAATTATTTTAATATTGCCTGTAATTTTAATACAGACTGAGTTAGGCTACTTAAAGGCGCTGTATGTAAGAATGTGGCCAAAACAGTTACTGCACTCAAATTCAAAATACTGCCGCGAGTCGTGTCCGCCCCCCCTCCCCTACAGATTCGAGGTTGCTGGACAGTGGCACGCTGGAGACGGATTTGTTTACCCTCAGTCGTAACTGTAACTGATGCTGAGACTCTACTGACTGCGTGACTGGTAGACAGCGGTGGGTGGCGCAACAGGCCAAAACACAAATTCAAAACATAAACATGATTTGCGGACTGTAAATTTTTTTTAAAAATGCGAATATTCTGGCTGTACTATTGTTGTCGGTGAGATCAGTATGTTATATGAACATTATTCCTTAGTCTCTGTGACATATTAGGAGGATTTTATGACTATTTTCTTTATATTTCTTACATATAGTTCCTTTAATGTTTCCAACTGTCCAGCATCCAGTACAGACAGATGTAGGCTGTTTTTGTTTCATAATAATCGTTATGTGGAAAAATAATTTGTTTGAATTTCCGTCATTAAAAAAATATTTCATTTTCCTTTTTGTAATGGTAAAAAAGAGCAAGAGAGAGAGAGATAAATTCCCACAGACTCCCTGCAGTGATGCTAACTGGCATGTCATTCAACACAATGTTGCCCACCTTCTTCATTGGGACAGGGAGGGGTAAAGTTATGGGAAGACAGGGCTGCTACTTCTGACTCATCTGTTGTTGAGTCTGGTAAAAGGGGCAGGGACAACTGATTTAATATGGATATCTTGCTAAACATTTACCTGCACTGATTAAATGTAGGTTAAAAAGGAGTGAAATGTAGGCTAACACTAGTCTGTAGCTAGCTAATTTCACTATGGACATTAAGCTAACAGGTTAATTTCTACCACTCACAGACTATAGGCTCCCCACCTTTCTTGGAGGAAAAACTGGGTCACATATTGACACCCTTTTGCCTCTATTCTCTCTCCTTTCTCTCTTTCCTTTTTTGAAAACCGGATTTTCTTTTAGTACTAGGTAGGCAGTATACTGGTACCAATGGTAGACCGCGGTACTTAAACACCACGGTATATATGATATCATCACGGCACCACTACTGTGGGATAAGTTCAAAGTCCAATCACAAGAGGGTTAGTGTCCATGCGCTGCCCAGTAACGGCGCACGCTGTGCACGCCAATAATGGCGTGCACTGGCCACCTGGCACTCAATATGCTGCTGCAGTGGTTTGTTTTCCAGTGACATTTCAGGTATTAGCTGAGCTATTGAGGATCTTTAAGCAGTGAAAGTTATTATTAATTTATTTTTAATTGTAGGCTAGATTTGTTTATATACAGTACAGGCCAAAAGTTTGGACACACCTTCTCATTCAATGCGTTTTCTTTATTTTCATGACTATTTACATTGTAGATTCTCACTGAAGGCATCAAAACTATGAATGAACACATGTGGAGTTATGTACTTAACAAAAAAAGGTGAAATAACTGAAAACATGTTTTATATTCTAGTTTCTTCAAAATAGCCACCCTTTGCTCTGATTACTGCTTTGCACACTCTTGGCATTCTCTCCATGAGCTTCAAGAGGTAGTCACCTGAAATGGTTT